TTATTTATTATTACCCATCTAACGTTTTTTAATCTGTATAAAACTAAAGAGTTTTACATTGTGTAAGTGAATCATAACTTATATATATATATATGGGTTGCAATCCACTTACACACTGTAAAACTCTTTAGTTTTACATAGATTTAGGACAATTACAGTGAATATCTTCTAATTTTGTACTGTTAATGTCAATCATCTATTTTCACTTATCCATCGGTTCTAAATCTATGTAAAAGTAAAAGATTTTTACATTGTATAAGTATCTTATATATATATATATATATAAGTAATCTCAATGATTAGAACGAGTGTTATTATCTTTATATATCTTAAGTTTACGCAGTTGTGTTTACAGAGTGTATATACTATTAATAACAACTAAAAAAGATTTTGATAAAATTTTATCTTATTATATATTAAGAGAAATGATGTGCATTTTTGCGTAAATATTATGATTAATTTATCATGGACAACTGATAATGATTTTAGGCTCTCTTGGAAATTGGAAGCGATCCATAGTCTAATAGATTGTGAAATAATTAACGAAGCATATTACTTTTAATTAATTGCGTTGATGAATTGATTATAAACTCAAAGAAAAACAATTCAGAAAGTGATCTCTTACGAGTTACAAACGGCCGCCGAAAATTATCTTTATTCTTGATGATTTATTCCAAATGGATTTGTTGGAAGATTGTGTGTACTGTGTAGTCCTTTTAAATGCTGTCCTAGAATTATCGGTGATGTGAATAATAGACATATATATATATATATTCAAATTCTACCATTAGTGTATGTATTATATATAATTTATTAATTTGGTTATTATATTTTAATTTGATTAATTTTAATTATTTGTTTTAATTTTATTTTTTATTATGACGTTATAAACATAATATGACTAAATTACAAGATTTAAAATGATAAAATTGAAAAACATAAACCAAATCTACAACTTAAAACGTGAAAAGTACAATAAATTGGGATGTAAGGACTAATTTACAACTTACTCATATTCTATGGACTAATTTAAAATTTTGACCCTTATAAATATACGTTAAAACAGTTTTTTATAGTAAAAAATTGCTAATTCTAGACTAAGAAATAAATATGGGATAACAATATATTGTTAATAGATCAAATGATATTACTTTATTTAAATAAAAGATGTTATTTCATTAATAAGTTTTAAAATAAAATATGTCCTCGGTGCACTTTAAATTAGGGTGTGCAAAATCGGATATCGGATCTGATTCGATCCGAAAATTTCTAATACATAGAACAGTGATTGGTATCCGAATATAAAATTTAATTTGAAAAAAAATAATTTTAAAATTTTGTTATTTAATGTTATATATTCGACACTTCTACTATATATATATATATATATATATATATATATATATATTTAATTACTACACAAAATAAAAAATTAAATAATCTTATTTTTATTGAGTTAGAGCTTTAATGGGTTAGTGAGTTACTCATTTATTGGGCTAAATATATCTAAAATTTAAAGGCTCAATTTTTTTTTTCCAGATTTTCGGATAATCCGAAAGTGGATTTTATCTGATTGTATCCGATCTGAATTATCTAAAAATAAAAAAAGGATCAGATATTAAAATTTTCGAATAAGATAACCGGATCGGATCTTTTTGCACACCCCTACTTTAAATATCAATTTTTTATTTGTTTCAAGAGATATATTAGAAACTTATTTTTCCTGATAGAAGCAATTAATTTTATTCAAAATATGAAATATCTCAAATTACAATAAATATTTACAATCACTATCATAAATAAAACACATAAGTAGGAAAATTTCCTTTAATTATTGAAACAAAACTAGTAACTTAAGATCACATAAGGACCATACAAGGAAAGATTAAATCTAACCAAGAAACTGAAACAAAGACAAATACAAACAGATTTGATCGATAAACAAATCACAAAAGGAGATCAAACTATTGAAAGACCACATGCAAATAACAAATCAGACTCGAGCAATGTGAAAAGCTATCCACAAACACAAATCGAGTATTCAAATCCAATAAGAGGATTCAAAGTAGAGAAGATCACAAGATATCAGATAAACAATCATATTGATCAGTCGTGACAATTCCAAATCAACCCTTAGAAAAAAAGATAAATAAAAAATGACCAAAGAACTGAAAAACATGCCAAAAAATTAGAAAATGTACCATAAAGGTAGATGAAAACGTGCAACACATGCAGCCTTATTAAAAATAAAAAATAAAAGAAAATAAAGATACGCTATAAAAAAGAAAAAGAAGATAAAGAAACCAATGGTCGGCAACTAACATTAAAGTTGGCGTTGTCGATAATCAACCAAAAAAAAAAGACGAGCGACACACCAATAATACTAAAATATATTACAACCTTCTTATTATAAAATTATGAATACTTAAATCATTATCTTGAAACCTCTTTTCAATTAAAAAAACTCAATTTTTAGCCAAAAATAAATAAATAAATATAAAAGATAAATATTTTGTATTTAAATTGAACAATTCTTTTTTAATTTAAGAAAAATTGAAAAATACATTTTTCTGGCTAGTGATCAATAATTTTGTTTCTGGTGCATATCTCATCATTCACACATACTATATATAATATTTGATCGGTTCATTCTGTCATTACTGGCAGAAACTTTATAAATAAAAAATTGTATAAAAACTACTTTAATTCATTTTTTTTACAATGTCATTAAAGTATTCCGGAACAATTTAGAATTTGTCCATGACAAATGCGGCAAGTGATTGAAGAGCTAAATTACGGAATGGATCATGTTTGAGTGTGGTGGATAAATAAAAAATCTGGATAGGCAAATGCCGGAAGGGAAGGAGATTCCCAGATCCCAACAAATACTGAGATCAGTGTATTGTAACATCAAGAACATCCAACCTAAAAGATACAAATGATGAGGCCCTCCCTGTCGGGAAAGAACATCTGTAAGAGTTCCTTGTGTGGATGCTGTGTTCGTTTAATGAATTGGACCCGCACACCCTGTCCTTTCCCACTTTTATTTATTTAAATCCACTGTCATTTTTCATCGGCTCTTTGCTTCTTTTTCACGTTTTGCAGAGAGATTGATGGGGTAAATTTTTTTTATGGATTCTCGATTCAGTACTCCTTTTTCATTCAGCAAAGAGGCAGAGCAGCCGCAGATAATAAGCCTTAATCCCAGCAGTACTCCAACTATCGCACTCGTTGCTTTAATTGATCATCTTATTATTACTCACTGTTACTTCGTAAATCACAATATTGTGTTATGGTAATGCTGGAAATGAGGCCAAAAGACTAAAAGTAGTGGAATTGGAGGGCAAAAAACGTGACTCTCACCGTAACTGTCAGCCCCATGTATGAGTGAATCATAGAGAAGCAAAAAAAAAAAAAACACGAGAGGACACTCTTAACTTTTTCTGGATTACTATAGTATCTTAACATCTACTGGTGTCCGTAGATATACAGACGCATTATAGTAGTGATAAAATATGTGTTTTAAGAAGAGAGATATTGAGCATTCAGCTGTGGCCTGTGGGCAGAGGTACATTATTACAACAGACGCTGACAAAAAGTGGGAGTAGCAGAGAAGAAGATGATGATGATGGTGATGATGGATCGTCGTGTTTTTAATGAATGCAAGCGTGTGGCCGTGAATGAAATGAATTAGACAGTCGAAGAAATTAAGCAAAAATTTCCAAAGTCAAGACTCTTTTAAACCTGAATTAATACCGTCTAACGTTGAAAACGACTATTTGGAGAAAGAAGTGGAGATCGGGACCTTTCCCTTTTTAAGACCATAGCTTAGCTAATTTTGATAACGACATATGCTTTCCACTGCCTGTGCTGACCTGGCAAAAACCTAGAAATTTAGGGTGCATGTATTGTAATGTAAAAACCCTAAGCTTCCTACGTTTCTGCTTTTCTTCCCTGTGGGCTTTAGAGAACTTCGATTCATATTGAAAATATACAAAAATATAGGAAATGTAGATGCTTTGTCTATGAGTTTAAACATTACTAGTGTAGGAAACGTGTGTGTGTGTTGGGGGGGGGGGGGAATCCTAGTTCCTACTCAATAGCGAGATGGCTGAAACCCTTCCATGCAACAGCAAGTAAACAAATGCTTTTACATATGGGATCCAATGAGGACTGTGACTGTGACTCACTGTTTGAAACGCCTGTTACCATGGAAATGGGAGGTGTGGAGCTATAGCTACTGGTTCTCGACTCTCACCAATTACGAAAGAATTGTAGGTTGGGGGTTTTGACGAGGCTTGCGTCTAAGCGTTGTTTTCCGGTTATTTCCCATGCTGATAGTTTAGGTTAATGATACGAATTATAAAATTTTAAGAACGAAAATAAATTATAAAAAAAAAGTAAAATATATTATAATTTAAAATTTTCGCTTCCTATGTCCATTTTAGTGTCTTTCCCTTCTTTCTTTTTTAGTACAGCCTAGTTAATGTTTAATGAGGTTTTAATAAGATTAATCAAAAAGAAAAAAAAAACAAGTTATGACACACCAACTACTCTATTGTGTTTTATACGTAGGTATAGGTTTTTTTTATTAGTACAACATTTTAATATTAAGAAAGGAACACGCTATTGCTGGAAGGTCAGCCGGCGAATATATATATATATATATATATATAACAATTTACATACAGCATGTTCTAAATATATTGGTTCACTTTCTGTACATAAATTTATACGCTATATATGTCATCTGTTAAAAGCATGTAAACCTATGCACAAGAGAAGAATAGTGGTTAAATTACTCGGTGCAACTTGGGGTTCAATGCTGGGAATTAGAGAGTGGCTATGATGAATTAATGAATAAAATTTGGGGAAGAAAGTAAACCCGGTGGTCCTCAAGAACAAAGTAGAAAGGCAAATGATAAATAACGTAAAGGAGGACTATGCCATAGGCTTAGAGAATCCTCTTTAAACTTGGACCTTAGCACTGCAAGTGCAACTATTTCATTTCACTTATTCTTTAAGCATAAACAATGACAGAAGGGGAAGAGCATCTCCACGTGCACCCATGCCTACAGCTACTTCTGCCCAAATGACGCAACCAAAGGCTTAGCTGCCATATAAATATATATATGGCTTCTAGCACCCTTATTTAGGTTCAAATTACCACAACACAAATATATATAAAGTACAATGCCGATGACACATTTTAAAACCCAGAAGCTAGTCTTACTGCACCCACCACCAGGCAAACAATAAAAACTAGAAAAGCTAAGCAAGACATCTCTAGCTCGGACTAAGTGAAGTCCAGAAGATAGAGAAGCTAGCCATGGACCAAACTTTCACTGAAAAATGTAAAAGAAACACTCATCCCAGCAAGATCATATGCCCATGTAGGAAACCCTAAATGGAGCATATTATACGTTCTGAAATTTCTTGATTTGTTGTTCACAGGCCGCCTTCTCCTCCTCTATCGTTGAGATCACCCGAAGAGGTATCATTCCAAGGAAAAGAATAAGGAAGAGCAGCAGGGACTTGATAGAACCCTCCTCCTTCATTGTCAATATTCCTTCTGTTAAATTCATCTAGCCTGTTACGGGGAGTGAGCGGTTGAAATGAGGTCGTCCCTGGCGCTTGAGGCAAGGATGTTGTGATGTCGTTGCAGGCGTAGCGGATCAACTCGGCATTAGCTGCATCAAGTTCTTTCTGGAGCCTTTGGACTTGTCTCTGCAGGAAAGTGATGGCACCAACGCAGCCGTAAACCGGATCTCTTACTCTCGCCTCAGCTTCATAGACAAGAGAATTCACCGCGTCCTCTCTTTGGTGAGGGAGGAGCTCGTTGAGGAGCTTGGTCACGTTGCTCGCTCCAAAGATCTTGTGAACATTCACAAATTTTTGGGGCTCCTCCGGTGGAAAGTAAGGTGCAAAGATGCAGCTTGGCATGCATTTCCTCCTCAACAATTTGCAAGCAGCACAGGGTGAATTGTAAGAGCTGGAAGAAGCCATTTTCACTGCTGTCTACAGATCCACAAGAACCGGTTGTCGTCAGCAGAGATTTTTTTAGTTCTTTAACGACGGGATTTTGAAAAGGTTTTGAGAAATTATATAATCATTTACAATTCATCTGCATATTTTTCATGATATTTTCAGTTTTTCCTTTCCTTTTCTTTTTCGTAATTAACTTGGGGGATTGGGGTTCACTCTTTGAGAATCTATGATCTATAGTTACTAGGGTTTTCCTGAACGTATATTTTGTGTATGATTCGGTATCTCTAACAATTCTAACCGGTTCCAACTTCCAAAGGAAATAAGACCAAGTCTTTCGAAGTTTAAAAGAAAAAAAAAATCTTAAGGCCTCCTTTCTGACGCTCTCAGTGACAAACAACAGGGAGAACCTTTTGAAGCATACATGCACAAGCAATTACACATAACTATGTGAATATTAACCATCACCAGTTTACTTTATGCAGATATAGCTGCCTTCATTCTTCTTTAACTTGTCTCTTTTTTCCCCTCCTTTGCTAATTTCTTGTACGTTTAGAGAAAAAAAGAAGTTCAATTCATGATCCACAAAAGGATCTGTGCCTTTCACCATTAATTTTGGTTCCTAAGTTTGTCTTTTCTTTTAATATTATAATAATATATGATCCATAATTAACTTGTAGTACTGCAAATTTAGTTGCGTGAGTAGCTCTAAAGCCATGGGATCCTTTTCAGCAATGGATTGAAGATGGGATCTGATATCTGAGAAGTGCAAAATTCACAAAGACAAGATTAAACCCATCATAGGTATATTTAAGGTATATCTGAACATAAGCAAAGGCCTAAAACTAGAGCCTTTTAGCCATTAGCTATTAGCTTAGCTTAGCCTGATTTGCCAACAAAAGAAAAGCAAAAGGAGGAAGAAGAAGAAGATGAGAAAGCAGCAGCAAGACATAATACAAATATAAATATATACTGAACTTGGATCTGTGGTTTATGCTGAGAAGAATGAAAAAGGGAAATACCTTTTCCCCTTAAATGAATGGGCTGTGTATGTGTTGAGGAGGATGTTGGTCTGCTCTTCTACCAAGATAAGGCCAGCCTTGGGCAGTGGGAAACTGATGATAAAATAACCTAACCAACCCACAGCAGATTTTATCGCTGCAGCCAAAGAGGAACCCTAATATTGGAGAAAGAAAAAGTGCAAAAGCAAGTTGACCAGTGAGAAAAAAAGGTAATGGAGAAGGAAGAGGGAGGGCAAAGAGAAATTAGTGGATGGGGATGGAATGGAGGCAAAAGACAAAGGTAACGAAAACAGACTAAGAAATGACTGTGACCTTGCGTTGCGTCTAATAATAATATCAGGGGATGTCTCCCATTTCTCATTTTCCCCCAACATTTTCTTTTTTTCTCATGCATGCTTCACATATATTCCGTAATCCAAAAATAATATTTATTAAAGCATACTACTGGAGAATTCTACGCATTAACAATTGGAAAGGGGAAAGGGGAAAGGGGAAAAGAAAAGGAATGAGGAACCAAATATAAGTGCTTCTACATGCATATTTAGCAGTGAAATTGATTCTCAAAATTAAAAAAAGGAAACAATCATCATTCGGATCTTATTCAAAATGTTGTCATCAACTGTAGTTATAATCACAGCCTTTCTTCTCCCTCCCTTAAATGAATGATCAATTATTTATTAATTAAAGTTAAAAGTTTAAGTTTTATGCATAGAAAAAAATATTAAGAGGAGAGATGGGGTGAGGAGGATTGAGACCGTCTGGTCGTACCTTTTGAAAATTTTAAATTTATATTTTGTATTAATATATTAATTCTCTTAAAATTTTATAATTTCACACCATTTAATTTTTAATTTAATTTTCTAAATTCTCACTTTTAAAATAAAATCTTGTGTCCATCTCTAAATAAGAGAGATATGATTAGACTTAATTAACTCAAGATGTAATGATACCAAATAGACAATAGATCTCAATCAAAAAAATAAATATGTATAATCGTATTTTTCACCATCAATTTAAAAAAAATCATTTTAACCCTTATTTTTTTTACATATATCAACACTTGAAAAAAAATTTCAAATATTTTTTTTACTTTTATACATTTTTCATAATTTGAATATATTTATATATTAGGTAAACTACACGCTTACTCACTGAACTTTACTCTCTCTCTTATTTCACTCACCGTACTTTCAAGTTTTTCAATTTGCTCACTGAACTTTAGACATTGAACTTTTTTTGTCACTCGAATGTTAAATTTCTAACGATGTTAAATTAAAATTGAAAAAGTTAAAAGTACAGTAAGTGAAATAGGAGAGAGTAAAGTTCAGTGAGTAAATGTATGACATATTTTATTATTAAAATAAGCCACTTAAGCACCCCGTTAATGAGTAAATGGTCGAGTGACAAAAAAATGTTCAATGTCTAAAGTTCAGTGAGAAAATTGAAAAAATTGAAAGTATGGTGAGTGAAATATGAGAGAGAGTAAAATTCAGTAAGTAAGCATGTAATTTACCCTTTTATATTTTATAATTTTTAATATTTTGTAAATTTTAAATAGTTTTTAGTATTTTTAAACGTTTTTTTTTATTTTTATGTAAATAAAATATTTTATGTCAACATTAGTCAAATGATAAAATAATTAATTTTAGTTTAGCATATATGTTATTTTATTTTGTTTGTACAATTTAACAAAAATAAATAAATTTCAAGGGCACGAAGATGTAAAAAAATAAGGATTAAAATGATTTTTTGAAAAGTTTGAAGGTAAGAGAAATATCATGAGATGAAATAAATTAATAAATCTTTTAAAGGTACAAATATCGTTACTATATTTAAATTTAATAAGTTCCTTTAAATCGTAGATAAATTTATGATCAGATATTAGAGGTGTTAAATTATTTTACATGAATAGAACTAGCATCTAATATGTACTTGAATAAAAAATTTAGGGGGTAAAATATTTATTTGACTAATATTTAAATTAAAAAGAATTTAGAAGTTTCGGATTCGAACAATTATATAATATCTAAACTGTTGTTTGGATGGTAGAATGTTACATTATCGGGGGGAAAAGTTTTTTCCTGAATGTAATATCTATGTTTGGATTGTAAAGATTTCCAATAGGGAATAATTCCCAACAATGCACAAAAGTGGGTGTTTTACTAGGAATGTTAATCCCCCAATTTCTTAGGTATTTCTTTTTCTTCATGGGTTTGGATTAAAATACCCTTAAGAAAGAGTTATTTCAAAAACATCCTTCTCCTAATTGTTGAAATAAAAAATATTTTCTATGAAGAGTAAATTGTAAATTTATCCTTAAACTATTTTTATATTTGTAAAAAAGTCCACAATTAGAATTTTATATGAAGTTCAGAGGTTAAAATAAAATTAAACCCTTTTATTAAACCCATTTATCTTTTAAATTTTGTAAAAAAAATTATATGAATTTTATGAATTTAAATTTTATAAAAAATATAAAAATAATAAATAATAAAATAATATATTTTCAATTATTATATAAATGTTTTCATTTGAGTATTCAAAATTCAACTTGTTTAAAAAGAAATATATCACAAGGACTATTTGATAAAATATACATTCCAATAATATTTTATTCCTTCAACCAAACATTGTAATCTTACATTCATACAAAATCAACCAAACACCGTAATGTAACATTTCCAGTAACGTGTCAGGTAATGTTATATTTCGGTAATCCTATTCCCAGAGGTAATGTTACATACCATGAACCAAATGACTCTTAAGTGTTTATTGTCAATTTGAGATTAATTAGAACAAATATTATCACTTATAATCACTTTAGTTTAAGAAGAAGAAAAAAACTAAAAGAAATCTAAAATATTATTATATCAAAAAATTTGGGGGCATGACCTCCCTGCTTTTAGTGACCTTGTCCAATGTGGGTTTATTTATTTCATTGAAAATGAGTTTTGAATAATACTTTTCATATATTTTTATATTTGGTTAACAGAAAAATAATTTACTAATCAATAGAAAAGTAAAATTATTTTTCTATAAATTATCTTTACTTCTTCATTAACATAAAATACTTTTTTTAAAAAATAGCTCTTTATAGATAACGAAGTCCAGTATAAAGAGTCTTGGTGAATGGTTATGGAAGTTGACCAAATCATATTCAACAACATTTTAGCAATGGATTCTATTGCTATTAGAGTCGCTGGTCTTTATCAGTATGATATTCAGTCTTTATATGGTCAATTAGTTATTTTATGTGAATTGACAGATCACACAGTTGATAAAAGCCATGACAAACTTCGACTGCTCAAAGTTTCAGTCTACTCTAGCTTTTTCTTTATCTAGGTTTCATATTAAATTACCAGTAGATTGATCTTTTTCCATTAGAGATGATAAAAGACCAACAGTTCTACCCATCATATACCAGACTAAGCATCTTACACAAAGCCTATTATACATTTTCACTTCTAAATTACATATCCAATCATGCCAATTCCCATGATAAGCACACAAAACTCTTTTGGAAAACGTTTGCTTATCAGTCAAATGGGTGCCATAAAATGAAGTTTTGAATCCAAAACAGGTCCATACATTATACATATACGTTTAACAGTGGGATTTGATGCGACTAATCTGTTTTGCAACAGTCCCCATTACATGTTGGAGGCATATTTATAATGGCAATGGAATACCCAAGATTAAGGTTCCCTCTGGATAGTGCTAATTTATATTGAAAGCTAAGTCTAGGCTATGATGGTAGCTAGTGGTAGGAATTTTACTTAAACAGCACTAATGGCTTTTGATTTTTTTCTTCCTTTTCTTGGTGGATAATTATCAAAGCATGCACACTTGCTGTTTTTCATCATCTAACTTTCATGATTGCCGAACCTTACGGCCTAACCAGCCAAAAACAAGAAAATAGAATTATGGACTGTTGATTCTCACAACCAAGCATAGAACATACATTAGGCTTCCTCTTTATTGCCGCAAGTTCAGCAAAAGCAAGTTAATGTCATTTTACTGTATGTAGTGTAGCTCTCTGTTTAGGCTTCATAATGATCAAATACGATGTTGGGCTTCTTTTTTATGACCATTAAGACAGATGATGGGCTACGAGAAGCTTATTGTACAATCCTTCAAATGACCCAACATTGGGCCTCATTTTTTGTGATCAAAACCTGACTGAGAGACGGACAAATAGACGTATGAGATGGAACTTGTATACTTGATTTGATTAGAGAGATTTGATAATCGACGCTTCTTGTCTAATGCTTTTCCGTGAAGGTTATTGTAAAGCCTCATTTGGATATTACAAACAGAAAATTTTAAAATACAATTTATTAATATAGAATTAGAAAATGATATTATGTAATGTTTATATTTTTTGGTTGTAATAAAAAATATTATAAATTTGTATAATTTTTTTTGTTGAACATGATAACATTTTAGGTTAAAAATCATCTTAGATTAGCTTTAAATTAGATTACCACATAAGAAAACTACCGTTGTAATCTCTATTGATCGCACTTATCCTCATATCGGTTTCTCTTACAGAATTTAAAATATTTTCGATGAAAGTTTTAAACTTATAACTATCATGAAAGAATATTTTTTTTTGAATAATTTGAGATGATAACAAGATAATATAATGGGAGAGATTGAAAGGGATTAAAAATACACGTAAAAGAATTTGAGGTTAGTTGCATCAATTTGCCAGCAGAACCCAGGATGCTTCAAGGTTGGAAACAAGAAAAAGAAACCATGCATGAGTTTCTATGGCCTCACATTTACACTTTAGTTTTCCAGAGTAAAACAATATAGCCATCTAGTCACAACAGTTTTCAAGATATGTGTATATATAGATTGGGTTGAATCAGTAGCTAAGGGGTGGTCTTGGTTAGAAGTAATACTTCAACAACCTCTGAGAAACATTAATGGCAAAAGGTAAGGCATACACAGGCAAAAGTAGCTATGGGGTTGTATCAAGAAAGGCAGATTAATATACTATTAATATCACAAACTACACCCTTATTGGCCACTTTTTCGATGTCTACAAAACTTGCAAAAGCAAGTAATCTTCGTATCTTCCTCAGTTATGTCTTCTTTCCAAGGATTTGCTAAATTATATGACTTTTTTAACCTCGTCATATGAATTTTATCGACTCATATATAATGTACGGTATATACCAATTCTACCAAAATTTTACTGACTCTAAAATGTAGTATTAACTTTTATAAT